AAAAAAAAAAAAAAAGATATTAGAAAAGAAATTGCTGAGTCAAAGCGTAATTACATTTATTTTTATACATATTTACAAAGTTCCTCCCAGGAAGACTAAACCAAATTATACTCCTGTACTTAAGTTACCTCATCTAGGTATCAACCTTTTCCTTCCATATCCTTTTCTGAAAGACTTGCTTTCTTCCTTTACATTGGCAGGTGGGGAACTGTTTCCCATCTCTTCCTACAAAATCAAAATCTCTATTTACTATCTCTGCCACTGCAGAAGTCCTTAGGTATGTCCTGAGAGGCTGATTCCAGCCATGCCTGCCCCTCAATGTATTGCCTGAATTTGGTCTTTCTCGGTGTCCCAGCAGTGCCACCTATTTTGGTTCTCTAAAAAGGATACTTCCTATTTCATCCTCTTGTGTGAGGTAGGACTAAACCATTGCCACATTTCAAATATAGGATAACTTTGAAGTCTGGCATACAGCAGAATCCTGCGTGACTGACGGAATGTGCACATAAAGAACTATATCATTGACTCTTCTCTCTCTTAGATGGCAGTGAGCAAGGTGTTTAATCATTGTTTCTGTGCAGATGGCTGCCTTACTCTTGGGGAAGTTCCAGGGTCTGATTGAGAAATTTTATATCATTGATTGCCGCTATCCATATGAGTACCTGGGAGGACACATCCAGGTGAGATTGCACTGTGGACATTGGTGGGGTTGAAGTCTAGAGATAGCTCTTTATTTAGTAAAGTGTGTAGACAAAGGGTCCTATGAACACTAGAACTGAAGCAGAGATTATACATTTGGAACACAGCAAAACTGAAGTCTTAGGCCAGGCACGGCAGCTCATGCCTGTAATCCCAGCACTCTGGGAGGCCGAGGTGGGTAGATTGCCTGTGCTCCCGAGTTTGAGACCAGCCTGAGCTAGAGTGAGTCCTTCCTCTCTAAAAATAGCTGGGTGTTGTGGCAGGCTCCTGCGATCCCAGGTACTTGGGAGGCTGAGGCAAGAGAATTGCTTAAGCCCCATTATTGGAGATTTCTGGCTCGGCGCCTATAGCTCAACCGGCTAAGGCGCCAGCCATGTACACCTAAGGTGGCAGGTTCGAATCCCCAGCCTGGACCCGCCAAACAACAATGATGGCTGC